GGTAATTAGAGACAGAACGAGAGGGAATGGCTTCAAGCTCCAACAGGGTAGGTTTAGACTGAACATTAGGAAGGAATTTTTCCCAGAGAGAATGGTCGGGCATTGGAACAGGCTGCCCAGGGACGTGGTTGAGTCACCATCCCTGGATGTGTTTAAGAGTTTAGATGTGGTCCTGGGGGATATGGTGTAGGGGAGAACTTTGTAGAGTAGGGTTGATGGTTGGACTCAATGATCCCAAGGATCTTTTCCAACATAGATGATTCTATGATTCTATGAAATGCTGAGTGTTTCATTAGGTTACTGAAATCTGAAAAGGCTAGAACTTGTCTTTTTAAATGTAATTGCTGGCTTTCAGCTTATGTTATGGTACCATATCTCTTAGCTTTGATAGTTCCCATGCTAGTCATCATGTCTGTTAATCTGACATGTGGATATACCAAAACCACATGCTGATACTGTATGTGATGTGGAAAATTGCACAGGATACAACCAGCAAAACATGTTGTATTTTATCTTATAAGCTGTTAAAATGACTTAAGCTTGAGCAATTTTAAAACAATAAACATATATTTTTCACTTTAAGCCTAGTTAACTTGCTACCTGTTCTTCGATTTGAATTAAGTTCAAGGATAGTTGTATTCCTGCATATGATAGATGTTTAAAATGATGAGCTGTCCTTGATGTAAGGACTTGCTTACAGTGAAGGGGAAGCTGGCACACTCATGGCTAAACGATTTTTTATTTGCTTTGTAGAAATAAGTAACTTGTGTCCTGTTCAAAATTCACATTGTCTTATTTCCATTCTTATCCAATACAAGGTGGCTTAACTTCGTGCCCTGGAAGGAATTAGTGTTACAATGTTCAGTGTCCACAAACACCTCTCTTTTCCCTTCTGCCCAGATGCCCTCAAAACAGTGGCTGTTAATTCCTTGTGACCACTTGCTTGCAGTGTTTTGCTAAATATCTAATAATTAGTCGAGGCATTTCCTGAATAGGGAATATGAATCCAAATAGCAGAGAGGAGAAGCAGCTGGCAGGGGAGAGAGGAGGCAAGACGGGGAAAAAGTTCTGTTTAATCAAATAATCATCAAGATTTTAGTATTCCTGCTGTATGCATATATATATATATATATATATAAATTGCTGTATCCTTAGCCTAAGGTTGTCATAGCAGCAGTTATCAAAATACAGTATTTAAATTCTGCTATATCTTTTCAACAACATGTTTGAATTTTTTCCTTTCAGAGACAGAACGGATCTAAAGACAGCCTAATAGAAGAAACATCTCAGCTGTCCACTGGCAGCGTCGATGGAAAACCCACCACGAAGATCATAAAAACTGTACAGGTGTCACGCTTCAAGGTAGAGACTTGATAGCCATGACTGAAGATGGTGAATGGATTTTATTCTTTGGAAATGGGGAATTTGTGTGTGTGTGTGTGTGCAAGGGAAGGAAGTTGATGTGGTAGCAATTTCTTCAGGGTACTCGGAAGCGCAGCCTGCTTGCTGGGAAGGCCAAGCAATGCTTTTACCACAGATACCATTCTAGTGGTGTGATTGATCGAGGAGAAGCTGCTTGATTAGACAACCAAAAAGAAAAGTCTTAGTAAAACTGAATGATCAGCAGTTACATTTCCAAAAAAAAAAAAAAAAAAGAACAAAAAAATTTGCTGCAACAAAACAGGCTTTATGGTCTGCTCTGTAACTGAATAGCCTTTTTCCAAAAAATGACTGTTAACTGACATGATCAGGACCAGATGCTTCAGAAGAAGCAAAATAGTCATATTTTTGGCCAATTGTGCAATACAGTGTGATATGGGGAGAATTATCTTCACAATTTTATATGGGGATCAACTTATGTCCTGAGACATAAGGACTGATAGCTCTTACAAGGTTTATTTTAGCCTAGCACAGCAACAGATGCTCATGTTGTTAACATAAATGTTGACTCAACCCGCCTTAGCTCAAAAATACCAGACTCAGTAACACCCTGTGGCAGAGAGTTCCAGAGGTGATACAGACTTACTTCCCCTTGGCAGTTTTAAGTGTTCTCAATTTTGAATGCCCTTTTATGCAGAGGAACTATTTAATTGAACATTCCATACCATAGAAATACATAGAAATACATCTATCACCTGATGTAGAAATACATCTAAACTACACTGGAAAAAAACCTGGAGAATATGTACTGACCCACTATATTTAAGACTGCTTAGCAGGGCACTTGTAGAGTAGGATTTAAGACAGATAGCAAATAGCCTTTTTAAAAAAAAACAAAACCAAACACTAGATTAGGAAAGTCTGCCTTAATCTCTTTTCATATGAGATAATCAATGCTAATACCTTCTGATACTTTTCTCTGAGCCATTTCTACTATGATAAAATGACAAAGGCAGTATTTCCGGTATGATAATTGCATTTTTTTTTCTATTGTCATGGTAGGAATAGTGAGTTTTAATGATGCTGCAGATTAAGTGGGTTATCTTCTAGTGTGTATGTGGAGTGATGCCTAGCTCTTCTGTCCTATCACTTTGTACAAATGAATGAGCTGAAACTCATTCATCTGCCTCCCATTTGTCCTCAGTTGGCACACGGATGAGCCTTCAGGCTTTGCTAACTTATTAAAAATCTTCGCTCATGTAGTAGCTCACGTGCCTTTTGACATCTGTCCTCCTTAGACACAGCCTCCACCACCTCAGTGATTTGCAGTGATCCTCTATTTTCTTGGGGTTTGGACTAGATGACCTTTAAAGGTTCCTCCCAACCCAAACTATACCAGCAGCCCTTGTCAGAAAAGCAATACTGCTTGAGAACTTGAGTGAGCATAAGGCATCTAATTTATGCTTTACAATAGGCATGGGATTACTAATACACATTTTAACTGACAAAACTGAGAAGTGAAACCTTGTAAGATGTGTTTGTTTGGTTTTCCACTTCATTTTTTGATTCTCTATTGTTTAATGACCTGAGGTGGTCAGGTAGATGCTACTAGCCAGGGTGATAGCCATATTCCTATCATAGTCTGGATTTGTCTGCATAGTCGGGAGATGCTGCATCATGCCAGGGAAGGCAGATTCACTTCATAAATATTTTTCTTTGATCACTTATTTGGGACAGTTCTGCTTCTTCAGTCTCAGTGAACAAGTCTACGGGGAAGAAAAAGCTTAGAACCCCTCTGTGGTAAAAATTCTGTTTTCATGGAGGTTCTTGAGCATTTTCTGATTTTACTATGGACTTCATCTTAGGACATTGTTGGGCTTGGCTTAGAGTATTTGCTCAAGCTGTTTTGTAAGTCTGTTAAATCGTTTCATTGTCACTGCTGCAATTTGAAGTAATACTTTAGGATCTATTTATGACCACGTGTAGTATTCTCACAAGCACCAGTTAAAAAAAACAAACCAAACAAAATGAAAAAAAAAGCACACCCCCCCCCCCCCCCGTCACTGCTGCAATTTGAAGTAATACTTTAGGATCTATTTATGACCACGTGTAGTATTCTCACAAGCACCAGTTAAAAAAAACAAACCAAACAAAATGAAAAAAAAAGCCCCCCCCCCCCCCCCCACCTTTGTGGCAAAGATTATGGTTAATACAGATTAATCTAGAGCATCGCAATGTTTTGGAAGACTACTGAAATATGACAAACCACACAAGAATTGGTTACAGTGTCTGCAGTAAAAGCCACTCCTTATTTCAAGGTGTTCCAAGCTGGAGCATTATGCACTTGCTTGTAGTTCGTTGCTTCCTAAATCATTACCATTACTCTGCATTCCTTACTCAGGCACAGGCAAGTAGAACACATCTACTAATTTAGGAGCATTTGCGTTGTTATTATTTGACAATTATCTGTACATAGTGTCCTTATCTTGCCAATCCTCAAATATTGATCAAGAAGAAAATTACTTGTAAGGTAATTAAAAAATCCGACTCATGTTTTTCTATATGTTGTCATCTGCCTACGGGCTTTTATCTATTATTGCTCGATACCATCAGCCAAGTGTGTGGTATTTTACTTATCCCACTACGTTAGACAATAGGCTTCTATCTAGACTAATTGTGATAGGTTTCAGTTCTCAAAGTCACAGTAGAGTCGTTACATAATCAAGCCATGTTCAGTGTCAGTGCTAGAACAACGCAAAACTTGGACAAGGCCATCACTGTCAGCTAATAGTACAGATAAACTTCTTCCATATATGTGAGCTTCCTTTCCCTTCAAGCTTCTTTTCCTCTGTCATTTGAAGAAAGGCACCTTTTCTTGTGATCTTGTTACTTTTGCATGAGAGATACCTACAAGTGATCAATCGTGGAACACACTTACTGCGTCTCAGCTATGCCCAGTATCTGCAAGCAGCAGAGCTACACCTTGCCCTTTCCACTGTTGGTACCCTTCCCTGGCTGTCTTAGGGCTTGCTGTGCCTAGAGGCAGTTACAGTGTCAGACCTGGAGTGTGGATGTCAGTCTCAAATACTCCTACCACCTGATGTGTCAGGCAGAAGACAGGAGACTGTCTCAGGCGTTTACCCTGGGGCCAGATGCCAGACAGACCTGTGTTCCCTGGATAAAGGACTGGTATTTGAGACATTCTCATCCTAATTCTGATCCTGGCCTGCTGAACTGATCTCAGGACAACAATTTTAACTTTGTGCCTCTGCATTTACCTCTTCCGAGACTTCTTTAAGTGCTAGGAATAGGTAAGTTTGGAACTCTCTCACTTATTAATTAGCAACACCTACAACATAGATATACCTCTTTACAAAACATGTATTTTATACAATAAAGAGGGCTTGCTAACCACACCACAAAAGCATTTTTGTATATCCCATATTGGTCCCCTTGCTTGTTAGCTGGTTTCTTTCATTAGGAGCTAGCCTTGACCTGCTGTTTTCTACACTGCACTTCTTAACAACGTCCCTAACCTTGCAACTCCTTTTCTAATTGAGCTCATTATATTGAAGATGTTGGTTGGGGAAAAAAAAAAACCAAACAATAAATCACTACCATTTAAGTTGCCAAATAATCATCTTTATACAGGTGAATCTTGAAATGAATAGATAGCACATTTTCTTTGGGGAAAGCCTGTTTAATTCAAAGCTAGAAAGATGTTTGAAAACAACATGCATAAACATATCAATGTGATGCATATGTTCTATGTACATTAAGTATTCATGAAGCAACTGTGTGCTTTATTTTAAATTGAGTTTGATAGATGGCTGTGTCAATACTTGTGTCCGGGTTATTTAAAAGTCAAGTAAAACTTGAATTTTTAGGGCATTCCACGGTTGCCTGTGTGTCTTATTTACATTACACAAAGGAGCAAAGCCTTCAGAAACACAGATTCATTTGACACCACCATCTGGTAAAAACAGGTGTAGTACCAATTAAAAATCACTTGAGGATACAGCATCTCCAGATTAAGTATTTTTTCCTGGTAGCAGAAAGTTGTGAGCATAAGCTTTGTACTCCAGTGCATATCCACACTAAAGTTTCCTTTCTTACTTAAAAATCACCAGAAAACAGCAGCAGACTACACGAGCTGTCAAACGAAGCATACAGATGCAGAGCCAGTGTGGCTGATGCTCTTTCCTTTATATGCCTGTTTTATTTTCTCTCCTGTATTTGTCTCCTTGGTAAGAGTTGTGGTGGATTGACCTTGGCTGGACAGCAGGTGCCCACCCAGTCACTCCCCTCCTCAGCAGGATGGGGGTGGGGTGGGGCAGAAAAAGGAGGAAGATGGAAAAAAACTTCATGGGTCAAGATAAAGGCAGTTTAATAAAGCAAACGCAAGGGCTGCTTGTGGAAGAAAAGGAAAACAAAAGATTCATTCTCCTCATCAGCAGGTGATGTCCAGCCACTTCACAGAAGCAGGGCTTCAGTACTCATAGCAGTTACTCCAGAAGGGAAGCAACTAATACTGAATGCCCCCCTGACTCCTCCTCCTCCTTTCTCTTGGCTTTCGTGGCTGAGCAGACATTAGACAGTATGGAATACCCCTTTGGTCAGTTTGGGTCAGCTGTCCTGGCTATGTCCCCTCTCAACATCTTGCCCACCCCCAGCCTACAGCTGAGAGGGCAATGTCAGAGGGACAGCCATAGCACTGGTGCTTATCAACACCTTTCTGGCTACCAGTACAAAGCACAGCACCATGAGGGCTGCTACTGGGAAAATTAACTCCATCTCAGCCAGACCCAATACAGAAGTTAAAACCACTGCTCGCCCAGCTGGCCACAATTTAAAGATACACCTTTCTTACAGTAATGTTAAGATCTCAAAAATAGCTAAGACTATGCAATTCTTTCCCCAATGAAGATATCAGAATGGAGGCTACATTCTTCATAAAATAATGTTGTTAAATCTACTTCAACTAAGCCCCTTTGCTAGGCAAAAGAGGTAACAGATTTATGTTCAAAAAGTCACCCCCCAGGTCATCCACTGACACAGACCATTTAATAGAGCTAGCGTTAGTCAACTCAGATGCAGTGTGCTGAAAAGCTAAAGAGGAATTCAGAATATGCCAGCTTTCTTTCTGTGTTCGGATCTGCACCTTTTAATGCAGAGACACTTGCACTGGAGGCAAGCAACAGAAAGAAGGTCTGGTGCAACACTAACCAAGGGCACAGATCTTTGTTCTCTTGTTCCCCCCCAACCACCTCGGAACCTATACTCCTTTCTACTTTTTAATACCGTCAACTTCAACAGTCTGTCAGGCATTGTGTTCATGTAAAACAGAGGAAGGGAAAAAAAATTATAAAGCAGTCTTGAGGTTTTTTCCAGGGCTACATTCCAGTTAGCCACTCATAAAAACTCAACGGCAATCCTGGTTCTTAACACCATACTCAATGTTTACCAGCATTACTATTTTAGTAATCAGTGCTCCTTTCTCCCTCTACCTCACTTTTTCATTGTTCTACCACACTATGAAACAGGTATTAGCCACTGAAGGTTAAGATTCTACAGTTTTTCTTGTTGAAAGAGAATTAACATTTTAGACAGCCATCATTAAAACTTGGCATTAGCTGTTGCTCTCAGGAGTTTCAAAAAAGTCTTAATAGCTACTCCTGCCAGTGTTGCACTTTAAGAACAAAGACCCATGAGCAAAACTCCTGAACAGATGGTATCTTTGGGGAACATAATCCCTAAAAGAAACTCTAAGCTTTCAAGCGCATCCAGTAATTGTACGCTGCATCACTAAAAATTAATTACTCTTGTCTAAGCCTCCTTCCCTCTTGACAAACCAAAAATTAACTTATGCTTAGACTTTGCATTAGTAATTTGCTTACATTCAGTACTGAAAAATCAGACATTGCAAGATACATGATTTCAGCACTTGCTTGTCTCATATAATTAATTTATGAGAAGCCTTCCTCAAAAGACAAGCAGGAATTCCAGTTGTTATACCTACAATATTTCACCCTACTTCAAGTTGAGTTGAAGTACCATATTCTGCAGCTGACCAAGCTTGCAGTTTTCCATGCTGGAGAAACACCTTTCCTGCTATTTTTAAACCCAGGTTTGCTGAATTTTAATTTTTACTTTTCCTCACCACAATACAAATCTCCGTTAACCCAATCTCCCAAGTACTACAGAAGACCATGGTTTCAGTGATCACCTCCCATACACTTAACAGCTCCTAGGTTTTACTTAGTCCAAAACAGTGAATTTGTGTCTCAAACACAATGTTGGGAAGTCAGAACTGTCAAACAGAAGCAACTGCTATTACAGCTTGGGAAAGATAGAAATTCTGGTAACAGTAACAGAAATCTTTATTTTTTTTTCTCTACATGAATATTACCAGACACTGCCCCAATACAGTTTAAAGCACCTTGTGTTACTACGTGCAGGTTTAACACTCCATCTTTTTAACAGCTTTTTGTTTCCTATGGAGTAGTCTTGCATAGACTGCCACTGGTCTCAGGCCGGTTCCAACAATTCTTCCTGGGGAAAAAAGTAAACAATTGTGAAATCAGACACATGTAGCATGCAGCTGTTTTCAGTAACTTCCTCTAGGTCCCTAAGATTGGTACAAAGTTACAAGGATCAGCTTTCCCCCACCCCGCCTCAGCTTTTTCCGAAAAAAAAAAAGTCAAAAGCTAAAATCTGCATTATAATGCATTATATGCATTATAATTATACATATGTGTATAATTATATGTAATGGGCATTATATGACAGTTTAAGAGAATAGTAAGCCAGTAATAGAAAGATGAGATTTAGTAATTTTGGAAAACAAGTACCAGCCCTGTTATTAGCTGCATTACTCATAGTAGATTTCACATACATTCCTGTTCCCAGTGTCTGACAGGTTCATACAAAAAGTGTCCATTTTATTCTTCAGCCTTGCAACCCCCCCAGTGCCTATGGCGCTAGAGGTCTGGGATGGATTTCATTAGATCATTTTCTACTGACAGCACTGTTAAGCATTAAGTGCGTCTGTGTTTTTCATGTTGCTCAAGCAGATTTTCACATTTCACTGCACAGAACTTTCTGATTCTAGTATTTTCAAGGACATTGTCACAAACTTGAAGGAATTTCATCACTTCACTGAAGACTTCCGTTCCATTCCTTCCCACAAGGAAGCCAACAGTTATGTAGTAGACCTTGGATGACTCAAGTTCATTTTTGTATGAACACGTGCATGTTCATGCAAAAACACTGAACCACCTTCAGTTTAATTTTTCCCAAAAGTTATTTGACTAACTTGTCACTAGTAAATAGCATATATTCTTAAAACAACTCCAGCTCAACCAGTCTGATTATCTGTCTTCAGCATGGACAACTACTGGATCACAAACTTCCTTCACAACTCAAACGAGCTCAATCTGCACAGCTTGGCTTAAAAGCTTGTCATGTTGTTTTTGTGAGTAGCTGCCAAATAATCAGTCTGCTTTCCCAGAGCTGCAATCACATTTTGAAAGCTGCTACTGCAAACATCACTCGCGTTATACAATCTGTACTTCTCTAGTAGTTTGTACAGTATTATCAATATCTAGTACAGTGAAATGAGTTAAAAAAAGGCAATTGATTATCACTCAAAAATCTGAATCATTGAAAAGACTCATTATTGGATGCCAAATGCAACCCCAATTCTTCCTCAAACTTCTCTCTAACTTTTATCTCTTCCAAGATTTCTTTAAAAATATTTGTAATTTTCCCCTGGAAATACCACTGTGCAGCACTATGTCTCAGCACTCTCCTCTTCACTGTGCTCAAGATGCATGAGCAGAACATTTCTGTTGTCTTTCTGCTTCATTCAATTTTCCCTTCATTGCTGCTTTCGTATGTTTGAACAACTAGTCTGTTCACAGACAGCTGCTGCAGCTAAAAAAAGCCTTCAGCATTTTTCAGCTTCACTGAGTACTGCACAAAGTATTCATCAGAAACACCCCTCTCTAGCACATGGTGTAATATTGTGACCCTTTCTAATTTAAAAGGCAATCAGTCATTTCTTCAGTTTGACTTGAAACTTAAGTTTGCACTCTGAATTTCACCTTTGATTTCACCGCCCTGAAGTACAGGTAAGTTATCATACTGATTTCTCAGTACTGGATCATTTTTACATCACATTTCCAATACTGACCAAGAAATCCTGGCTTCAAAGACTGGGATTACCTATCATTACTACGTACCCTTAGGTATGTAGGGTACACAAGCTACAGTTTTCAGCATTGAAGAAATCTTTGATAATACAAGCAATTTTTATTAATGCCTTGTATGTAACACTGAATTTCATGCTGACTTGCACTATTTAACTTTCCAATAGCGCTAGATTTTCCAAAACTTTATAGTAAAACAGCACTTGGCATGTAAGATTCTGAGCTTTCATGGTCACCAGTCTTTGAGTGGTTTTAGTCCTTGTATTCTGAACAGCTCCACAGTATCACCCCCAAAAACAAAACAGAAAAGCACAGGCTCTTCTTGGCCACACTGGCAGCCATACACTGATTTTGATAAGCTACTCACACCAAACTTTTTACTTTAGGTTTTCCACCTTGCTTTTGTTGATGAGAACACAGTCACTAGGCTGATCTCACTCTCAATGTTTTAATTCAAATTTCTGCTCTAAAGTCATTTTGTTGAACTTCTTTTTCAACAGAAAGTCTGCCTCATTATAAGGAAAGACTGAAGGACACAGCTGCACAAGAAACTATTGTCACTCACCTCATGAAGGAAGTTGCAGGACAGCTGGGCAATCAGCACTTTGTAATTTTTTCCTACATGCCTTTTGCACGCTCAGAGGCTTTCACCACAGAGGCCATCTCTGTGAGCTTCTGAACTTCCCAGCAAAACACACTAGAACTCTGTAAGAAGTATTTCATAGAGTTAAACATTCTGGTAGGAACAGACCCCACAGTTCCCAAAATAAGAGCTACTGTTGCTAGCAGTATTAAAGTATACTTTATACGTTCCCAAGTGCACCAAGGAAAGACTGTTCTATTTACAGCAAAAGACAGAATACATTATTATCCAATATGGAACAGTCCTACAAAGGGATTCTCTTTATACCTTTCTGACACCAGACATAAATAAGACTTTTATCTTTTCTGTAGCTGAGTATTCTGAAACTGTAGATATTTTCTTGCAATAGGAAGAACAGAGGCCATTGCAGAGGTCTGAAATATTATGTACTGATTACTTGCAGCACAGAAGTAGGAAGTTATGATAAATAGGATGGCTAAACAATGCTAGAAGTAGCCATGATCATTTTAGTTTTTACTCTTTTAGTAACTGTCAGACTCTTCATTTAAAACGACTGAAGCACAAAAGCTACCATGTAACTGCTCAACCATACAGCTTCTACATGTTTTTCTTGTCCTTGCAAAAACAGGGAGGAGAAAGGTAAATAACCAGCTCCTTAAGCAGTTTGAGCAAGAATTCCTGTTTGCCTTTTTTGACACCACATTCATTCTGGACAGGAATGAATGGGCAACACAAAGGCAAAAATTAAAGTACTAGAACTGATCATCTCTGAAAAATTAAATTAACAGCATATAAAAAAGATCAATTCATCAATAGGCAAATACTTGAAAATACACAAGTAAATAATACTTTATACATAATAAGCATTTCATAAAAAAAAGCCAAGCACACCATGCTCTTGGGACATCTTGTGGTCACGCTGGTGCTTGCTTAGGCCATCGGAAGACTTCCATTGCTTTCATCTGAAAGAAAAGGGATAATACATTTTCAATTGAAAGAATGACCAAGATACAGGAACAGTACAAGGAGCCCAACAAGAAATACTTGAAGTAATTGCCTGATTTCAAAGAACAGACAAACAAACTCCACACTCCCAGTAAAAAAAAAAAAAAAGAAAAAAAAAAAAAAGAGGCCCAGTCATACCTATCAGCACACTTTAAGGTAAAGGGCTATTCTATTACAAGTGGCCTGCTACAGCAAACAGGAATGATGTGGAAACCCACTAACATCTCAGAAAGCCAGACACAGCTGACTATGTACAACATGCTTATGGACAAGAAGCTCAACATGAGCCAGCAGTGTGCGCTGGCAGCCCAGAGAGCCAACCGTGTCCTGGGCTGCATCAGAAGTGTGGCCAGCAGGTCTCGGGAGGTGATTCTGCCCCTCTACTCTGCACTCGTGAGACCCCACCTGGAATACTGTGTCCAGCTTTGGAGTCCTCAACACAGAAAGGACATGGACCGGCTGGAACAGGTGCAGCGGAGGGCCATGAAGATGATCAGAGGGATGGAGCACCTCTCCTATGAAGACAGGCTGAGGGAGCTGGGATTGTTCAGCCTGGAGAAGAGAAGGCTCTGGGGAGACCTTATAGAGGCCTTTCAGTATCTGAAGGGTGCCTATAGAAGAGCTGGGGAGGGACTCTTTGCCAGGAAGGGTAATGATAGGACAAGGGGAAACGGTTTTAAATTGGAAGTAAAAAGACTCAGATTAGATCTCAGGAAGAAATTTTTTACTCTGAGGGTGGTGAGACACTGGAACAGGTTGCCCAGGGAAGTTCTGGCTGCCCCATCCCTGGAAGTGTTCAAGGCCAGGCTGGATGGGGCCTTGAGCAACCTGGTCTGGTGGGAGGTGTCCCTGCCCATGGCAGGGGGGTTGGAACTCGATGATCTTTGAGGTCCCTTCCAACCCTAACCATTCTATGATTCTAACAGCCATGCTTAACTTTCCCACATCACCGAAAAAGTACTTCTTTAAAATAGATGGTATAGTGCATTTAAGACTATGCAGTGTTGGCTGCATTGCTAAAGCCTGTCCAAGAGTTCAACCTAAACCAGCTATGTACGGAAATTAGAAAACTCCCTCTTCCAGAACGTGAGCTTTTGGAGAGTTCCCCCAAACAACAGTGAGAAGCGTATATAGAAACCTTCAAAGCTAGAAAGTCCAGAGGATGAAGGACCACCAATCATAGAATTGTCTAGGTTGGAAAAGATCTTTAAGATGATAGAATATAACCATCAACCTAACACTGCAAAACCCACCACTAATCTGTATCCCCAAGTGCCATGTCTACATATCTTTTAAACACCTCCAGGGATGGCGATTCCACCACTTCCCTGGGCAGCCTATTCCAATGTTTGTTAACCCTTTCGGTGAAGAATTTTTTCCTAATATCCAACCTAAACCTCCCCTGGTGCAACTTGGAGCCATTTCCTCTTGTCCTACCGCCTGTTACTTGAGAAAGAGAGACGCGACTCCCACCTCTCTACAATTTTCTCTCAGGTAGATGTAGAGAACTGTAAGGTCTCCCCTCAGCCTCTTTTGCTCCAGAATAAACCACCCAGTTCCCTCAGCTGCTCCCCATAAGACTTGTGCTCTAGACCCTTCACCAGCTTTGTTGCCCTTCCCTGGACACGCTCCAGCACCAAAATGCCTTTCTTATAGTGAAGGGGCCCAGAGGTGGTCACAGCGTGCGAGGTGAGGCCTGCCGGGTGCCGAGTCCAGGCGGGGGGTGATGGCGCCCCTGGCCTTGCTCACGCTATCCCTCACAGAGGACACCGATTCACTCAAAGCCCGCCCGCCTGCGAAAGCGGCGCGGCTACTCCCCTCACGAACCGGCACTCCAGCCCCAGCCAAGGCCTCCCAGCCCCCGTACCCACCGCACACCTTCCCCAGCGACGGGCGCACGACCCGACTCTCGGGGAGGCCGTTTCAAGGCCTCCAACCCCTTCCCGTTACCGGCTCAGCCCGCCCGGCACACACAGACATCCCCTCCCCCGCCCCCGCTCGGCCTGGCCTACCTCTTCAGCCAGCCCCCCGGCCCGCTCGGCCGCCGCTGGCGGAGACGGCTGGGGCTCAGGACCGTTAAGGGCTCGCGGTACCGGCCCCCACGGGGAGCACGTGCACGCCCCAAGCGCCACCACCCACCCGCCTCCGCGCGCACTGAGAAAGAGGCCAGCGGCCCCTGCCGATCCTAGGGTGCCTCGAGAGGGGCGAACCAATACTCAGACAAAGGGGAGGGGGGAACCGACACACACGCCGTGAACCGGCTCCTCCCGCAGAGCAGAGGCCGCGTAGCGGCTCTTCCATAGATGTAAATCGGAAGTTTTAATCAGGAGGAATCCCTGCGAGGCGAGACTGCCGTGGTGTAGGGCGGCGAAGTCCGGGGCAGTCCCGCCCTTTCCCCCCTGAACGAACCGGACGATGGAGACTCCCGGGGGAAGGGGCAGGGCGCCCCCTCGGAGCTACCTGCGCGTGCGCAGCGCCGCCGGGCGGGCGGTGAGGGCGGCGGGTGCTCACTGCGTGGGGTCGGGGTCAGCCGGGCTTTGGTGCTGAAGTGGTGGCGGGGGGAGATTAGCCGTTTTCCTGTGGCGAGGGGGGGCTGCTGTGCGTGAGGTGTATTTACGCCAGCGAGCTGGGCGCGCTGTGGGGCCTTCCCCAGTGGGGCTTGTCCGAGCTGGGCCCCCGACAGCACAGTTGTGCAGCCAAGGAAGGCATCGCTCCTGTCTTGTGCTGTCACTGCATTAAGGTCCCCCGCTCCAGCACTCTTCAGAGGGCTCGCGTGGTGGATGATGATCCTCCACGCTCACAGGCCGCGTCCAGTTTCCCTTCTGAGCGTGCCGGGTGTGTGTGGTTGCAGTAGCCCACACACCAAAGGTGGTGAGGTTCATAGTGAGGCCACTGCACATAAATACTGATCTTACGTATTGCTCATGGGTGATCGTGTAAGTACTGTCCTGCTGTTGCTCCCCAGCTGGAGGAGCATGTGTAGAGTAACCAGCCTCAGCTGAGGTTGGCAAAGTGTGATGGACTTGGACATTCAGTGCTGGCAGAGACTCAGTTCTGAGTGCACAATTTCCAGATTTGCTCACCGTGTAAGTGAAGACTATACATATAATGTGTGAAAGACACTGAGGAGGGGGAATAGAGCTGTTAACGTACACCACGAGGATAAACTGGACCATATTGGGACAAAAAGCAGAACGAGACTAGTACCGTCTAAGAAACCTGAGATCTGTACAGCTCTTTTACATATATTTCTTGCTCTACTTGGGGCTGCTGTGGCCTGCTTGCTGCTTTTAGCACCTTCTGGGAACAGCGGAGAGAGTAACAGTTGGTGTACAGAAGGCGAAGTTGCAAAGTCACTTCTGCAGGACAGCCTTGATGTGTGGCATCTTAGCTAAATTACAGGAGGTTATAAAAGGGCTGCTAAGTGACCAAGTGCTACAGAAGAGGCATGGCTCACTGCAGCCTTGATAGTTAGGGAAAAAAATAAGAAGAGCTAAGGGGCAAGCAAATGTTACCACTCACAGCATCTGGGGAAGTGTACAAACTTGCAGGAGTGCAAGTTTCTTCTTGCGGTAGTATAGGCTCAGTTTGCTTTACAGAAATCAGTTTTTATATCACTATGCTTAGGCATATCTCTAAAATAGGGTGTATTATTCCTGTATAGCAAAACTGACAAATATTGTTAGCATTAATTAAAAGCAGATTCACCTTCAGTATCTTTGGCTTGTCATTCTGTTTTCCCCATAAAGAAGATTGTCCCAAATATTGCCTCTAGCCTAACTTATGCATGGATGAAGGTCAGCACTTAAAGTGATATTTAAAATACAGAAGTAGTTGGTCTTGCATAGGACACTGATCAGATTGTTGCTGGCAGTCAGGCTAGTAAATCAGTGGAGATCTGTTACTCCATGTTGCTGATATGGAGTCAAGTGTTGATTTGTAGCTCAGTGACAGCTGCCTAGACAGAAGTTTAAGTCAAATGGAACTAATCCAGATTTTGATTACATAAGTGAACAATATAGCGAAGAAAAAGCCTTTCATGTTTCTGACATTTGTTATGTGTCACTGGGGATACAGAAGAGCTTGAATAGCTACATGAGAAAACATTCTGTCCATAAAATGCTAAGTGATTATATGAAAAACTTGGACATTTCAGGTGTCCCCAGAAGTTGTTATTGAATCATAGAATTGCAGAATGTTTTGGGTTGGAAGGGACCTTCTATTCCAACCCCGCAGCCATGGGCAAGGACATCTTTCACTAGACCAGGTTGCTCAAAGACCCATCAAACCTGACCTTGAACATTTCCAGGGGTGGGACATCCACAGCTTCTCTGGGCAACCTGTTTCAGGGTCTCAACACTGTCACCATAAAGAACTTTTTCTTTACGTCCATTCTATCTAAATCTCCCTTCTTTTAGATTAAAGCCATTAAAACTTGCTTTTGTCCTGTTACTACAGGGTCTGGTAAAAAGCCTCTCTATATCTCTCTTAAAAGCTCCCTTTAAGAACTGAAAAGCTATAATAAGGTCTTTCTGTAGCCCTCTCTTCTCCAGGCTGAACAACCCCAATTCTCTCAGCTTGTCTTCAGAGGAGAGGTGTTCCAGCCCTCTGACTATTTTCATGGCCCTCCACTGGAGATGCTTTAACAGGTGCATGTCTTTCCCGTGCTGGGTACCCCAGAACTGGATACAGTACTCCATATGGGGTCTCCCAAGAGTGGAGCAGAGGGACGGAATCACCGCCTTTGACCCGCTGGCCCAGGATACAATTGGCTTTCTAGGCTGTGAGCGCATGTTGCTGGCTCATGTCCAGCTCTTCATCCACCAGTACCTTCAAGTCCGTCTCATCAGGGCTGCTCTCAATCCCTTCATCCCCCATTCTGTATTGATACTGGGGGTTGCCCTGACCCAGGTGCAGGGCCCATGTGAACCTCATGAAGTTCAACAAGGCCAAGTGCATGGTCCGTCCTTTATGGTTTTTTTTATTTTTTTTTTAAATCTGGTTGATTTAGTCCAGGGATAGGATTTTTCTGAAACATAATTTGAAAAGGAAAGACTTAATGTCAGGCACCTCTGTGGCTTCTATTCTGGATGAACACAGTGAATCTGAATTCCTAATTTCTGAATCCATGAACATTTTATTTGTTATAACTGTCCTCGTGAAACCAGGACATGCAAAACTGAGGTCTAAATTAACAGTAATTCTTAGTTACCTAGTAAATAAAAATATCCTCTTGAGGTGGAAACAGATACCTTGCTGCCACATTTAAGTATCTAGAATCTTTAGCAGAAGGTGCTGGTGGATTGTGCTTTGGCAGGTTAAGACATTGCAGAACCAGCAGTCTTTCTGCCTTGTTGTTCTACCATGGACTACCATACATATTGTATGGTTAGCAGAAGTGAATTAGCTGCTCTGATACACAGGCCTCTTGTAGCTTTCATGGCCTCTTACGGGGCATCTGAGCTGAACCACTGACCTGCCACATGCAGGCTGAGGTATTTCAGTCTGTCAACTCAGCCACAGGGCACAAGAGGAGAACTTGACCCAGCAGTGATGAAAACAGAAAAGCTTACCTACCTGCTGAAAAGACTTGAGACACTCAGCCTTTTTGGCTTTGAAATTAATGGTGAGATATTATTTTCTGTTTGGTTCCTGAAGGTGTGATGAACAATTTAATCACTGAAATGGTTTTGCTTTGTTGGTGATATTTTCTACGTTGGTTTCAGCCAAGTTTGTCAAAGAGCTAGAGAAATACTAAGTCCTTGAAGGTTTTGTGGAAAGTCATCATGTGGCTAGGCAAACGACCTGCTAGGTGTTGCATGTACTATTTGTCGTCCAGCCAAAGGGAGAAATCATGGGGTGGTGGTAACGTCTACTCTCTGATGTATACTTCTCCACTGACCCATAGGGCCAGCTTGTGAGTGGCACTGCAGGCTTCCAGTGGTGAGGTGCCTGTGTGTCTAGGTAGATGTGTGTGGACAGGAGTTGTGTTGCCCAGCTCCACTGAGCTGCTTAGAACCCAGCACTGAAGTGAGTCTTACTGGCTACCTAAACTGAGGTTTTCTCTTTCTGTTTAAATGTTGTTGAGCACTTCCTGACCATGCACAAAAGGCTTGTTTTTGTCGCTAAAGTATCTTACCAGACCTGAGACTATTTCTCACAAGTTAGCACTGAAAGAGTCTATTGGGCTTTTGATGGCATTGACTTCAGTTCGGAAAGTACTGAGTAGCAGCAGTGATCTCTTCAGTCACTCTTATTTCCTCTTTTTCAAGTATAATTCAACAGCTGGCAACTGACATCCTCAGATGAGGGCTGCTTTTTTTTTTTTTTTTTTCCCTACCCCCTGCTCAAACTGAAGTAGTTTAACTAATCCCCTTGCAAATTATTTCATTTCTTTTTTTCAGTGGCCATTGTGGGGGATGGCCCCACATGCCAACACTCTCCATCACACCCCCATAATATGCAGACTGATAAAAGAAAGAAAAATGTGTGTTTGGTGTACGTCTCACTTGCTCAACAACGGGTTATGATGCAGACAGTAACCAGTGAGGTTATACAGTTTCCATAGAGACTGTCTCATTGAAATGATCTATTTCTGGAATTCCATCAGAGATCACTGGTGTGGTTAGGATGGAAGTGTTTCTTTTTTTTTTTTTTTTCTCCCTACCCCCTGGAAATGTCATGTCAAATTACGTTAGCTTCTTATAAATTTACCACTGCATGCAAGGGAGAGTGAAGTTAATAATCTGGCCTGATTCAATATTCAGTCTCACTCTGCAAGGACAGTGCAGTAGAAGCAGTTTTGGCTCCTTGTCCCTTTCAGTAGTCATTGATTTTCTGGGACACTAATAAGCACTCAAAATCTGAATCTGTATTAAATGTCTTGTTTTGTTCTACTCTCTCTGGGTGTGTCCTTAGCTTTCCTGAGTGAATTCCAACACTACCCTGTAAGGGTATAATTCCCTGTTGTGCTTTCTTCAGCAAGAAAACCAGTTCCTGCCCTTCCTGGCTTGTGGCCTCTTGTTCCTGTTCCCAGCATCAATTAACTGCTTCATGAGTTTTCTTAGTGCTGGTATTTGTGGCAGCATGCCATAAAACAGGTCACTGAAACTATCAGGACTCCTAAAAACAAGTGATTTGGCTTTGGGCACAATTAAAATGTGCAATACAAGAAAATAAAAT